ACGGGGTACAGCTCCCCCACCCCCACCCCGCTCCCGACGCTACGGGTGCTCGGGCGTCTCCGCGGCCTCCCTGCGCCGGAAAGCTGGGGACGGAGTGGGAGGGCGGCCCTGGCCGCTGCGTTCGCCGCGTGCCGGCCCTCGCGAGGGGGACCCCACCTCCCGAATACCGGCCCGGAGCCGCGGGGAGCCTGCCCCGAGGCCTTGGGGTGGCCGAGTCAGTCGTTTAGGGGGGCAGCGGGAACTGTCCTGCTCAGCGCAGCTCCTTCGTCCTTCGGCCTCCAGAGCAGGCTGAGGGAGAGAACGGCCAGCCGGTCGCTGGGCTGCGTGAGGCCGCGGACAGGCCCACAGTGACACTGCCCAGGATGGGGTAACCTGACAGATGTTTGGGGAACCCTGCGTGGGAACTCATTCAGTTTGCAAGACGCCCAGGGGACGATTGCACAATTCCTGCCTCACACTGTCCGGCAACAAACCCCCACGGTTGCTTTTCAACAACGCGTTTAGCGGTTACTGGGGGAAAACAAATGTTATTCAGCATCATCCGTCCTTGCCAGGAGTTGGGGGGGGGGAGGAGATGACATAGTTAAGCAGCAAGAACACAACCTGGGGGAATTAGAAAGTTAAAAATGGTAGACCCAGGGCCCAGCCTGGTGGTGCAAGGGGTTAAAGTGCAGCACTGAAGCTAGACCCCGCCCTGAAGCAAGAGTTCGATCCTGGCCAGGGAGAGACCCACAGAGATCCTGGCCAGGGAGAGACTCACAGAGCGCAGCAGACCCCTCCTGTCTCCCCGCTGCACCCCTCGGCAGTGTGTTTCAATACATCTGCCTGTTCTGCGCCCCGCTCTGTCTCTGGTGAATCCTCAGGCTTGTACCCCAGTTCTTGCGTGCATAAATAAATAAATCTTTAAAAAAAAAAAAAAGGGTAGGCCCAGATCATGGGTGAGGACAGAGCACAGGGGCAGGACGTGGGCTTTTAAGTGATGGGGACATGTTTCCTTTTGTGTATTAGAGCAAAACTTGGAAATGGGTTGCAGTGTGACAAGATGAGAATACGGGGAGCCAGGCAGGCAGAGGAGAGGGATGTTTGCATTGGCCTCTCTAGGGGTTCAGGGACCGGGGCCCCAAGGCCTGGTGGGGATTCCGGCTGCCAGTTATCCAGTCTTAGGCAAGTTTGTTTCTTAAGTAAATTCCCTGTGCCTCAGCTTACCCTGTTTAAAAAGGCAGATAACAACAGGGTTGTTCTGAGTAGTAAATACTAGATATAAAGTTGTTAGATTAGTTTCCACCTGTAGTGCATACATGTTGCCTCAAATTTTAGGTTCTGCAGCCACTACTTGGGATTAGGGAGTGTCTGCTTCTGCCACTTTGCAGAGGTAGGAAGGGTGAGACTGGAAGAGGAAAAAAAACCACTTTTTACAACATAATTCTCCCTATCTTAACTGCTTCCTAGCCCTCTGAATACATTCTAATCTACCATCAAAGAAAGTGAAAAACAACTGATGTCTGTAGTTGGCTTAGGGGACTGCTGTCACTCTGAGCTTGAAACAGAGGTCAAGGGAAGGTCAACGCCCTGAGGATGAAAGAATGAAGTAAGATGTAGGTAGGGGAGTAGCAGTGAAAGTTTTGTGAATGTAACCAGTGAACAAAGTATCTTTAGACCAAGTTTTAGTCTAAGGCCCTATATGGGCAGGTCAGTTATTTCTTTGTATCTTTTGTGTACTTCAAAGGATACTATCAAGAAAGCACAGGGCAGGCCCTCCCTGGTGTTGCAAGGGGTGAAAGCACAGCCCTAGGAAGCTCTCTGCAGCAGCTTTAGGGTGAGTTCTATCCCTGGCCAGGGAGGGACCCCCAGGGCACAGCAGACCTCTCCTGTCTCCCTGCTGCTCCCCTCAGCAGTGGACTTCGTTGACCCGCCTGTTCTGCTCCCCGCTCTGTCCCACCTCCAGCTTTATACCCCAGTTCTATGCATGCATAAATACATCTTTTAAAAAAAATTAAACATGGACCCTCCCTGGTGGCTCAGCGAGTTAAAGCACAGCATTGAGAAGCTAAAGCCACTTCCGCATGAGTTCAATTCCACC